CTGATTGACCATTTTCTACATACAGAACATCAATGTTTCAGAGAGTTAAACCTGCATCCAACTCCAACAATTCTTTTGGGTCTGAGCTTTTACATGGGAATTTATGCTTCTGTCCTTCATGGATTGGTGATCAAGTGGTCTTAAGTATTGGTGCTCACGGTAATTGCAACTGACCTACTGACACCATGGGATCCAGGAGCCAAACATGTGTTGTTTTTCTGCAGTAAGCCATGTCGAGTACTACAGCTGCAGCATGAGCCGTATCTTCTAGTGTTGCTTCCTTGGAATGTTTCTTGCTTGGCGATCACACTTGTGTCCATGCAATGGTCTATGGTGAGGAATTTATACTAGGATCCTGATGGTGACATGCCTGCTATACTCCGAAGTCATAATGCAAGGGTCAACCGTCAGCATGTTGTTTTGGGTTCCAGTGATGTGGGAGGTTATCCTTATGATATGCTATTGAAGCACCCTTGGCCACCACCTGTGCTACTGCATCTCACTCATGCTGGTGCTGTTTTGTGGCTGATGCAATGGGCGTCCTGTTGGTTCTGGAGCTGACAAGAAGTCCAAGTTACTGATATTTAGGGATTGTCGACTTCAGCGGCTTAGGGGCAAGCCGCATTTCAAGGAGAGAGGAATGTCAGCTATATGGGCCAATACTCGCCATGAGCCGGACATGTACATCACTGCAAGCCCAAGATGAGAAGCTAACAAGGAGTATAAAGGAAGGAAGGCAACCGAGGATGGAGCATCGAACAATTATCATAGTCTACTGTTTATCTTCCTCCGTTACATCGAATGTTTGGACATATGTATGGAGTATTAAATATAGACTAATTACGAAACTAATTGCACAACTTGCGACTAATTTGCGAGACGAATCTTTTAAGCCTAATTAGTCCATGATTTGATGACGTGGTGCTACAGTAAACATGTGCTAATAACAGATTAATTAGGCTTAAAAAATTCGTCTCGTAAATTAGCCTCCATCTATGTAATTAGTTTTATAATTAATCTATATTTAATGCTCCTTATTAGTATCTAAACATTCGATGTGACATGAATTTTAGGAGCGAATAAAGAACCAAACACCCCCTAAGGCTGAGGAGAGGAACCGAGGAAGGAGGGGCGCGGCGGACGCATGCGAGCGTGGCGGCCATCCAGCGCATGGAGCAAGGATCGGCTGGTGGTGGAGCACTGTAACAAGATTAGAGATCTATAATCACCAAGATTAGAGATCTTTATAGATAGCAATGTTCCTAGTTTATGGAAACTATTATTTCATGTTTAGCAAAAAATTATTTAATATTCACTTGAGAAATTGTCATAAAGAGAAAATTATTTTTATTTTAGAAAAATGTTGTTATTGCTTATTGGTTTGTGAAATTGGTATATGTTCTTGTGAAAATGGCTTCTAGCTTCAATAGAAAAATATTCCACCTTAATAAAATATAAAAAGTTCCATTTACTTATTTACAATGTACTATATATTTACTAGCCACTGATAGTGTCCAATGAAGAGAGTAGATATGAAATTTCTGTTATGTTATTTAAAGAAAATGTTGTACTAGCCATTGACAGTGTCCAATAAAGAGAATAGATATGAAATCAACAAGAATAAAAAATTAAAAGGGAGAGAAAGAAAAATAAAAAAACATAAATTTTCAAAGAAACTGAAAAAACGGCCCACAAGAAGCCCGTGCGTTTTTTTGGTTTCCGCCGTCGATGCATAACCTGCATTCGCCTTCCGTCCGCTGCATCCCTCTTCCCTCCTCGTTCTGTCTCTCTCTCTCTCGCTCTCGCTCTACGATTGTTGGGCCGCCGCCGCCGCCGCCCTAGGCCAGGTGCTGAGGCTTTCGTTGGTCTCTTCGCCAGCGACGAGCACCCACCAGGTACTCCCACCCCTTCTCTTCCCTTCCCTTATGCTGTGCGAAGCTGAGCTCCGAAACCCTAACCTAAAGCTATTTAGCTATTTGACAAGCCTCCTAACTTCGAAGTTTTTGCAAAAATTATTGGGTGTACATGTGTACACCCATGCCCCTTTACTGGATCCGCCCCTGCGTGAAGTTGAGTGATGAGGAAGCTCAAGTTCCATGAGCAGAAGCTTCTCAAGAGGACCAATTTCTTGGAGTACAAGAGGGAGGGCGGCCACCGCGAGGCGCTCATCACACAGCGCTACGGCCTCGTCGAGAGGGACGACTACAAGAAGTGGGTTTTTTTCCCCTATCCCCACTGTCTCCTGCTTGCCTGTTTAATCAGCTCTGTAGTTTGTATTGAATCAGTAGTAGGATTGCTTTATGTTGATCTCTAAACGAAGCTTTGATCAAGGATACACTGAAAATTTCTGACTGTCGGGTGGCAGGTACAACGGGATATGCTTAATGGTGCAGAAGCTCGTTAACATCATAAAGCAGATGGACCTAAGAGACCCTTTCAGAATCGAGATGACAGACATGCTGCTCGATAAGCTGTAAGACTGCTGGTCCACTTGATCGTGAGATTGTATATACAATTGATTATGTAAATTTTGAGCTGGACTGTCAAGGTTACATCCTCATGGACCAAAACCTTGCAATTTCACCTCCTGTGTAGCTATTGGTTGTATAGTTGACTGCTTGTAGAGTTAGCAGTATGAACTTCACCTGTACCTGTATGTAGTGTGTCAAGGAAGGGCAGATATAGTCCAACTAGACTACTGTCTCCTTTACTACTTCTCATATATGGGATAATTTTATGAATTGCATTCTTAAGTCCTGCGTTTTTCATGTGAAATTGAATTGATTGACTAGTTGCTCAGAACTTACTGCAGTGTAAATGTGTAAAGATTGCTTGGATATCTGAAATCAAGAGATTCTAATTATCTTTTATTCTCCCTATGTCTGGTCATACAATCCAATATTGAGATTCACTTGTGGTAGTACTATCAACATTTTTTACATCTGCATTGGGCTTGATTGCCATTGGCCATCATCTGTACTAGTGCTTGTTCTCTGAACATGGCAATTGATTGATTTTTTTTCAGAAACCATTATTCTCATTTCCAGACTCTAGCATGGGTCACGAAACATACTATGATGTTGTTTTCTTGACTTAGTCGTTGAGATCTAAACCTATTTCATTTTGACTAAATCATAATCATATAATGTCATACTCATGGGATCTCCATTATTCTGGTGTTTTTTGCCATGCTTATTTTTTTGGTCTGATGGAGCTACTTAAATTTCAGGTATAATATGGGTGTAATTTCAACAAAAGAGAGCTTGATAAAGTGTGAGAAACTTTCAGTGAGCGCCTTCTGCAGGTCTCCCCCTCCCTCTCCGTCTCTCCTCCCTAGAGTGTTTGTTTTCCTTTGTAGGATGTTACATTCTATTGGTCATCTTACTTCAGTTCAAGTGTTTTTTCTTGACTAAGAGGTCTGTGACTCTGTGGTAGAGTATATATCCTACTATTCATTTTGCTAACCGCTTGTATGGTAATAGTAGAACAAAGTAGGAAACAATATGACATGCAGTTCTGTTTACCTTGTTTATTACTCAATTATTGCAGGCGGAGACTTGCGTCAGTTATGGTGAAGCTCAAGTTTGCAGAGCACCTTAAGGAGGCTGTCACATACATCGAACAGGGGCATGTGCGGGTTGGTCCAGAGACAGTCACAGATCCAGCCTTTCTTGTGACCAGAAACATGGAGGACTTCATCACTTGGGTGGATTCCTCAAAGATCAAGAGGAAGGTCATGGAGTACAATGATGCATTGGATGATTATGATGCCATGTTTTGAGAAAATCATTCTGCAGAAATTTCTGTGCCCATCAGTGTAATCTTAGGCCAGTTACATATGGCTTTTTTTCTGAACAAAATCTGCGGTGGTTGTTTTCTGCAGGGCAATGCATGGCACATGTGATGCAATTTTGTGGTTGGTTGAAGGCACATTTTAATTTATATCTGATGTAGTTGTGCAATTGTCTTTGTTAAAGAGCGTGTTTATGATACATCACGTGGTTTACCCGGTTTTCCCCATAGTCTGAAATTACCGTGCATTTTTGCTTGCCGGCAGTATTAGATTAATTTAGTGCCCACAGCTTACAGTAGCTTTTCTAAAAGTTATAGCAGCAACGCCGGCTGTTACTGCCATAGGCTTTCAGTCCTAGCCAGTGTTTTCCTAACAAATATAATGGTAAACATACTGTTTAACCATTATTCGTGCTATAAATTAATGCCAGATAGTTAGGTGGTTCTGTTTTCTGAACATCGCGCTGCACCTGCAGGACAGACTGACTTTAATTCACAGACTTCAATTCACATTTTCGCGGGCATTGCCAAAGAAAAATAAAGAAAACATAAGCACTGTAACAAAACATGAATATACAAGTTCCCCCTTGCGCAAACTAATAATGAAAGCTTTGGCAATTGACGACACCGCTATATACACCTTTGACGGTACAACACTGCTTGTAAACTTTGATTTTGAGTTTATAATATTATCACAGTTATAAAATACAATGCAGCGAGCTTTGCCTTACAGAATGAAACCATATCTTCGGTCCTACAGGATTCCAATTATGCCACCGAACTTTAAAATCTCATGCCACAAAACAGGCAGTTCAGACACGTCCATGCGGTCAGATGCTGATTCAAACTTGAGAGCTTGTACCCTGCATAAGGGACCGCCATGACCATTTTTGTGTTCCCACACCCTGTAATGAGCCTACGAAACAATAGTTTCACAAATTCCATCGAAAGCCAAACACCTCATTTCTTATCATTTCAGAGTCTGTTCGGGTAAGGGTGCTGCCCCGGGTATTATGTAAACTTGGATCCCAATCTCCTCTATCAAAAAGCCCAAACTATCAATATTGTACATATCGATTCAGTTTGGTCAATATATCTCAGGATGTACTGTTTCCAATACACAAACATATGGAAAACGATAACGACACATACAACAAAGTGGATGACTTGATAATGGTGGATTTACAGTAGCCGTCTGTCATTGTTGATCAACTAGGGGTAGTCCTGGAGCCCAGAGCTCTTGAAAGCTCTCTAATGATGACAGACTTCTCCTTTGCTTCTTTATCGCCTTCGAAATGCCATTTTCGGGACATTTCTTCAGCCTGCAGTTACAATACATGGAATGGTAAGTCAATATTGTCACAGACCCACAATAGTCCACAGCTGACAGCCCCAAAGCAAACTTGAACAAAACTGAAGTACAATGTGCTGAAGGGAAAATACAATAAGCAATTGTTTAGCCAGAACAAGAATAGCAGAAGTTCACTTACCCAGCTTCTCAATGGAGCTATTTGCTCTTTAATCATATCAGCTCGTGGCTGCAGTGCATCTTTTCCTTTAGTTTTCACGTCATCTACCTGAAAGGAGAAACAAGAGTTGTTTCAGAGGGGCTACTTGACACTTGGATTTTTTATCCTGAATGCAGGAGGTTTCATCTTCTTCATTGCTCCTCCTATTAAGGATTGAGTTAATATCAAATGTTCAAGAGTTTGTTAAATAATATGTTTTGCCCACGAGACGAAAGAAATTCAATTTGGCTAGTTCATACAAGTATAATGACAAAGGAGAAACTTGATTTATCATTGCATTATCCATGTGAAACCATATTATTTCAAATTTCCAATTTTTGAGACTAATATCACTACCATTGAACTTAAGAACCCCTTGAAATCCTCAAGGCTAACATCCAAAGTTTCATCACATAAATATATCCACAGCTTATTTCAACAATAATTCCTAGGCAAACTATTTCCAACATGAATTTGTTAGCTAGGGCCCCATTGGTGGCACAGAATTTTGCTGTTCCGCAGATAGCTCAGACCTTATTTTTAAAACTGAATCTCACTTTCCATGGTTGAGTGGCAAACAGAACATAGTTTAGCAAGGGCTCCTATGCCCTATTGCCATTCAGAGTGGCAAGGAGGATGTTACTTAAAGGATTAAATAGTAAAAAAGTTCCACATTGACTCTGCATGATTATGGATCACTAAAGAATGCTAGGACCCATTTTTCTCATCCCTGTGCAACGAGAGTTTGTAGCATAGTGAGAACCATACAAATCAGCAATTTCAAAATGAAGAGAGCAGCATTCAAGAACAAGATAGAAAGACAAAAGAAGTAACTAGGAATCAAGAGATAACAATGAATAAATAACGACAAAACCCTAACACAACTCATTGGGTTTACACAAAGCAAATGAAGAGCATGCTCTACCCTCTAGGCACAAGCTTAGCATTATTATTTAAATTCTGGCACATTGTACTTTTCTTTTCATTAAAAGGTCCTACATTCCCTCAGATATGTTGTACAGATTACATGACTTACTGAATGCAACTGTAGCTTATCTGCCGTGTACAACATCACAGCTGTTGCTCCTCCAAACACCAAAAATGTTGCAGCAACGAATGCCTTCCCAACTGTAACAATCCAAAATGAGAACAGAAGATCTTCAAGAACACTTGAACTCAAATTTTTTAGGCAAGAAAATATACTCTGCGAGTATCCAGCAATTACGGCTTTCAACTTCTCAGGGTCCATGGGAGGTGGGGTCCTATCTCGCCGCCTTTCATTGGCTGTTGACGCCAAGTAGCTAGGTTGTTCATTCGGAAGCTGCCATCTGGAAAAAAGAACATACAAAAGCAAGTGAAAACACATTAGTAAGTTGAAACCATAAGTAGGTCACAGGATGCATGAGCATAAGAAATACACACATATCCATTTGGAACTACAACAAATACTTCAATGCTATACATTAGAAAATGTTTCTTTACAGATCCTGTAGCAACACATGGTAAAAAATAAGAGTCATCCACGAGTTAGCATCCAAGCTTCAGCTGTTATATGGTTCATTCACATATTTCTATTAATATGCATCTGTGTAACATCCCCTGAAATATTAATCAGCATTACATCTAAGTTATAAATATTTTGCATCTCCTCACTTATGAATTTATAAGCCGACAGGTGTGGGAGAACACAACTTATAGAAGAGCATTACCCCTCATATTCATGATTTTAAAGACAGATATAGGAGTGTAACAGTGTGTCTGGTTTCTTGCTTGAAAGATAACAACTCAATTGATACACCAGATAATTCAGAAGTGTGGTACCCTTTGAAGTTATAATCAGGTTGAGAAACAAGTGATAGCTCAGTTAGAACAGCCTCCAGCAGAGAGGCTGCCCACCCAACCTCGAATCCCAGTGCTCAGAGGTTGCATGGTTACCTCCCTGTCCCTGAGAACAGGTTTCAGCAAGTTTTCCAGCTAGCCAGGGTTCAGTATTCCCTCACTCAAGATTCAAGACACAGCCAACCAGGATGTCTTCTCTCCATGGTCAAGTTTTTTTATCAGATATAATCTGAAGTACTCTGTTCCAAATTATAAGATGTTTTGACTTTTCTAGATTCATAGCTTTTGCTATGCACTTAGATATATAATATGTCTAGATGCATAGTAAAAACAATGTATCTACTTATAATTTGAAATGAAGAGAGTATTTTAAATCCCTATAGCTGTATCAGACTAACAAATGAAAACGCCTTTTCTAACTGAGACCTGTGCTCGTGATGAATAGCTGCTTTAATCAATGTTAATACTAACTCTTTTTTTTTTTTTGAAACGAACTAACTGACTTTCTTTGAATATAGCAAATTCGTGCAGTGTATTTCTTCTGCTGTTATCACACATGTTGGACATGTAACCAATATATCGAATTATATATTCTGAACTGGCCCATACAAGATAGCATATAGATCAGTGCATCGGATGGTATATAACTATTTGAAAATCATTTCCATACGAAAGCAAAAGCCTGTTTACACTACATTGTGCATAATGTTGCTCCAGATGTCAATATTTTTTCAGATAGTTATTACTTGCACAGTTGCACCCGTATCTAGCATTCACAACTCGTCAGTTGAAGAACTGCTTGTGCGTGTATCCAAGTTCCAAGCATGAAGCATGGACAATCGAGTACAAAATTAACCAGCTCAGTACATTCGCGTGCACGCGCGCACCCGGAATGCCAGAACTCAGAAAACTACTCCGAACGACGAATTTCAAATTCCGGAAAAAGGCACGAGTGGGAAGGGCCTTACTACCTTTTGGGGCCGAAGGTGGCCTGCGGCAGCGAGACGTAAGAGCGGAGCGGGTTGAGCGCGTCGGGGTGCAAGCCCGCAGCCTCGGCGCCGCCTGGCGGGAGGGCCCAGCGGGAGGACGCGGAGAGGGAGGCTTCGGCCGGGGGGGGCGTCCCCTTGATGGGCACGGAGTGGCGAAGGATCTCCGGCAGAACGTCGGGGGAGGGCTGCGCCGACGCGCCCCCGGGCGCCGAAGCGGAGGGCGGGAGCTTCTCCGCGAGGCGGCCGACGGCGGTCTTTGACTCCTGGAGGAAGTACGCGCCCTCCTTGGCCGCGAGGCGGCCGGCGAGGAAGCTCATGGACGGCGGCGCGTTGGGCCGGGGGTTCTTCAGGCGGGCGCGGGCAATTGATCGAGCAGGTGTGGTCTGCGGCGAGGTTTGGATTTGGGTTTTTGACTCTTCCCCGATTGAGAAAGGTGGGGGTGGCGTGTGGGTGCTTTTGTAGCTGGTGTGATCGCTCGAGGCACACGGCGGCAGCGAACATAAGGAGTGACGTCACTGACGAGGAGGGCAGAGTGTTTGCATGACTGTAGCTGTGCCGCTGCAGGCTTGCATTGCAACTGCTTATTTTCATTTTGTTTTCTTTTATGTCATCCTCCACTTCTCTCTAAATTCAACGGCGTAAAGGTCTATTAACAATATAAGTGTCCCATTTAGGGTTTTTTGTGATGTAATAATAATTTCTGGATTATCTCGTGACAATGTAATTGCCAATAATAAAGGACTCCCTTCGTACCCACAATGTTTCACATTAAAACAGGTTCGCAGAAAACTGCTCGAACTTTGACAAAAAAAATTATTTAGATTTCCTCTAAAAAAAATATTTAGATGATTGAAAGCTCAAAAGGAAACACATTGGACCATTTGTTTATAGACACGATAAGAATTTTATCTAAAAAATCCAAGAGGAAAAAAGAGATTCGAGCATGGAAATAGAGATATTGTTTTTTTTCTTTGACCAAATTAAGTTCTTGTCATTTTTCTATATACAAGAGATCTTTTGGATCCACCTTTTAATAAGTGATTGGAAGTAAATTTAAAGTGCATATAAACTATGAGCAACTTTAAACTAACTAATGGAACTAATAGTTAGCAGCGCACCAGCTAGTAATAAGCTAACTTCTAGTGCTAATGGATCCAAAAGGGCCTTACATGAAGCCTTGTGTGCCTCTAGTTAAGTTCGTGCGTGATACGAGTGTTGTGTACATCGGAAACGTATTTGCGAAAACAAAACTGCAACTCCTGAAAAGAAATTCAGAAATAAGAAAAGGAACAAAATAAAGAGAAGTGTGTCTAACCATGTCTTGGGAAGCAAGTCGTTCCGGCTGATGACCCCTTCCCTTTCTGCAAGATTGCATTACCAGTTTCTTTGCCTTGGTCAACAAGTCCATTTGCCACAACAGTCAACTATTGCTCATGATACTATATATAGATTAACGAGCAATAGTTTCTTCAACTATCTAAAGCATCATGAGTTATGCAAGGCTGATCTTTAGCAGTAGGCATGAAGTATGAAACACGTCAAATGTGACTCCCTGGCCAGGGCTCTATTTCAGATCAGAACTGTAACTGTCAATCCAAAGGTCTCCATACAAAATGCCTTCCAATAACATTCATCACAACACCAGACATCAGGTGGTTCTAACATCACACTGCGAATCACGAATCTGACTGAGTTCATTCGCAGTTTCAGGCCATTGCCAAAGAAAATTTGGAAACCAAAGAAAATAGTCAAAACATTAATATACAAGAGTGCCCTTGGATGAGCACATATAAAGCATGCACAAAAAGGAACATTTCTCTCGCTGATAATGAAAGCTTTCAGTTGACATAAACTTACATCCTAACTATATGCGTCTCTTATGGTACAATGAGCAAAAGAATGGTTAAAAAAGGAGTCAAGATGCCACCTGGCTCCATTGCACGATAGCAACAATGGAGATGGCAATACAAGGTTGGCAGAACTCTGGCAGAATGATTTGTTGAATGGTAACCCGAGTAGAATTGAGGCACGATAGCAATAGCAACAATAAGAATGTTGTTGCTCAGTTTGTAAATATATTACTTCCACAGTCAGCTGCAGATGATGCACCTTCATTCACAGGATGATTTAGCTGACCCCAATCAAAAATATGGCAGCATTGTTGTCCAGATGCATAATTTAGTCCCTGCTCTACTTCCATCAAACATGAGACAAAATTCTGCCAAATACTCAGAATCCAACATGATGCCTAGCAGTAGATCATGGCAGTAAGAGAATGGATGAGCTAGTCGGCTATATTGCTTCTCTGATACAAACAAGAGCTCAATCACTGTATTTTCCTCTTTACAGTTTCATTCCAAAGTAGTTCAAGGGCAAGAGATATATCCAGATTTCAGCCGAAGCACAAAAGAACTACCTTTGGTGATCTCATTGGTATAGTCTTATCTCATTGGTATAGTCTTTCTTCTGAAAAAGAAGTATTGGTATAGACACAAGAAACTATAAAAAATCTTAGTGCTCTGTTCTGCACATGCATTCTGGACATCGTGGATGTCTAAATATGCTTCTTGCAACAGGCCTCTCATGAACTTGCTTAGTTTGCTGTATGAGTTTTCTTACTCTACTTTCAAATTCATTCCACTCAATCGTGGCATTCTTCACAAGTATGCTGGCTAGCCGGCGCTTGTTTGGCCTTATTGTGGGAAGGTCCCCACCACCATAGTACATGCGGTAACCTTGAACAAGAGAAGAGAATTGACTTCCTGGGTCAGTCATAGCAAATGCATCGGCAGCTGCACATGCAATGAAGTCCAGGGCCGCCAACTGCAAACCAGAGGAGCACAAAGAAATTATTCAATTAAGCGTAGGCATAGTTCACAAGATACTAATGTAAATTAGCAAATGTCACAACCATTTTCTTATCCTTCATGTCACTCTTGCGGTTACTGGTTTACTACTCATATGAATTAAATCTAAATTGAGAGCAGAAAATAAAATTAGCACTTCTGTTACAGGTTTGCTGCCCACATGAATTACCTCTAAAGAAAGCAGAAAATAAAATTAGCACTTCCTGACATTTCACCTTTTAGCCTCTATGTATGTGACAGCAGTTTGAGGACATAATCTATCAGTCAATCTACAAACAAATAATCAGGTAGATACTACCTGAATTTTCTATTTGGGTGCTTATTTTCTATGTTTTACATGCTAACACTGTCTATATATCTTTTCTACCTAAATCATGCAAGAAGAGATCACATGACAATATGACATATCTCACGGAAATTTACCTGAGATGAGAAGTTCCTAAATGGTTCAAGCTCTGATGGAGACAGAAGGGTTTCTTTAGTTACTAAAGCAGGATAAAGACGACTTATGGCAGCCATCCTATCCTTCCCTCCATAAATTTCAGCGCCTGCAATGTATATATTTGTGCTGCGCTTGAAACCAATAGCAGCAAGCATAAGCACAGCCTCTTCAGGTGCAAGGGGACATTTGCCTTCAGACCGTAAGAAAGCAGCAGAGGGCAACCTAACAAGATACCGTTCTGTCAGAAATGCTCGTTGATTAAAAATAGCCAGCAACAGATCAATATTAGGATGCCATTTTTGTTTAATGTGGTGTATTGTCATGTAATGCAGAACTGCAAACATACTTTGTTGTCTTCTTGAGTTCTGACAGAACAGGAAAGTGAATTTGGCGATAAGCTTCAAGTTCATCTTCCTCATCTTTGCCACCACCAAAATAACACAATGAGTATGCAACCATATCAATCTCAAACCGGAGATGAACAGCCAGATATTTGGATGCATCACTCTTGTTCACACTGGGGTCAAACTTGATGGCAAATTGGCCTAAAAGATTATCCTTCAAAGGCGACGAAGAGGCCCTATGGCCATGCAACCTCTCTACAAGAACTGCACCAGTTTCTTGAATTTTGTGTACAAAGCGAAGAGCATGAAAATTACATCTGCATCGCAATCTCTGTGGAACAGTAACCATACAGTCAGAGCATGCACTTGTTTTTTTTTTCCTTATGGGAGGAACAGAACAAAGAGAAGAAAACAGCAGCACAGTAACCAATATTCATCTGTAGTACTATCAGCTGAGTCATTCATATCTTGACAATTCATCATATAAGTTAGACTAGTGTACTAAAGGATTCTATAACACTGATGCCAAAATAACCATTTCCCGTCCCAGTAAATGTTAGTCGCTGAATTCTCACTCTTGGTAGTAGGAGAATTCTTACTCTCATCGAGAGAGGATGACACTAGGAGTTGGGGCAATTTTCTTGTCTATTTCTTACTCAAATGCCATGCCAACCTGAGGGGTTGGGGTTACATATTTATAGGCTGCTAGCCAGCCAAGCATATGCCAAGATGCTAGTCTAAGATGCTAATATGCTGTCCTAGCTAAGATGTTGTCCTCTAGTCTAAGATGCTGTCCTCTAAGATGCTGTCCTGCTGTCCTCTAGTCTAAGATGCTGTCCTAAAAGCAGAAAAACAGCCACAAGGACCATATGAGCAGTACAGCCCCACAAAGACCACACATGAGACTTATCCATCATTCTCCCCCTAAGTCTTGTGCGTCGTCTTGTGGGAGAGTTGAACCATCCCGGTCCTGGAGCAGAGCTCAAGGAACTTGATCCTCCTAAGGGGCTTGGTGAGCAGGTTCGCAAGCTGGTCCTTGGTGTTGATGTAGCTCGCCTTAATGCTCCCTTCCTCCAAACAGCCTCGGATGAAGTAGTACCTCACCCGGATGTGCTTGCTGCATTCGTGGAACACGGGGTTCTTTTGCGGGGCAGGCGGACTTGTTGTCCACCACGAGCTCCACCGCTCTAGTGTCTCTCGCCGAGGAGATCACCAAGCGATCGAAGCGAGCAGGCTTTGCTGAGTCGAAGCGGTGGAGGCCGCTATGTACTCGGCCTCGCGGGTGGGACAGGCCACCACTGGCCGCTTGACCGATCGCCCTGCCTAACGAGGCACTTGCCGAGGAAGAAGAGGATCCGCTCGTGCTTGCTTTGGTGTCGATGTCGCCGGCGTGGTCGTTGTCATTGCACCCGCGAGCGAAGTGTGCCGCCCAGGGCACCTCGGGTAGTAGAGGCCGTGGTCGAGAGTCCCCGCAACATAGCGGATGATCCTCTTCACGACTTCTTTGGTGCTCCATCGTCGGTTGTCATTGCATGAACCGACTAACGAGCCGACGGAGAATGCCAAGTCCGGCCGTGTGTGGGCGAGGTAGCGAAGGCTCCCCACAAGACGCCGCGATCGCTGCGAAGCGCCCACCTCCTCCGTCGTCTTTGTCGCGGCTCGACTTGACTCTCTCCATCGGAGTGAGGCTGGGTTGCGATCGGTGAGCCCAGCTTAGCTCAACGACGCGCTTGGCGAGGGGCGGTCCGTCAAGTGTGATCCCGAGTCATTACGGTGCACCTCGATGCCCGGTAGAAGAAGAGAGAGACCCGGTGTCACTCATCCGGAAGGTGGTCTTCATCTCTTCCTTGAATGCCGCCACCTCCGCATCCTTGGTGTCGGTGATCACCAAGTCGTCGACGAGACACCCACCAGCCAGAAAGCGGTTCCTCCACCGCCCGTCGGCCGGTAGATGGTCGCCTCGTCGCGGCTTTGCTCAAGCCCATCCCCTTTAGCGTAGAATCCAACTTGGCATTCCACGCCCTCGGTGCTCGCCGCAAGCCATAGAGGGCCTTGCGCAGCGTGAGCACCTGCCCTCCTTACGGGGATCGCAAATCCCCCGGTGGTGGTGCGTAGACCTCCTCCTTCAAGTCGCCGTTAAGGAACGCCGACTTGACGTCCATGTGATGAACACGCCACCCTCTTGGGCGCTTAGCGCAGAAGGAGTCGACGGACTCCATCCGTGCCACGCAGGGAGCAAAGGCGTCGTCGAAGTCGACCCCTCCCGCCGCACGAAACCTCGTGCCACCAAGCGAGCCTTGTGCTTGACGATGGCACCGGCTTCATCCTCTTCGCCTTGAACACCCACTTAAGGGTGATCGCGCGCGGTGACCACGAGGAAGGTCGCAAGCTCCCAGTGCGGTTCTTCTCGATCGCATCCATCTCCAATCGCATCGCGTGGCGCGCCATGCCGCGTGTCTCTAAAACCTCGTGATACGACCGAGGCTCGCCGCCGTCACACGCAAGGTGCAATCGCGCCTGTGTCGTGAGGCACCGGTCCCGCACTTTGGTCGCCGAGAAGGTTCTCCATCGACGGTACCGCAACGGCTCGCCGTCGTGGTATGCGCGCGCGTCGACACGCTCCTCGTCATGAGAGAGCGAGAAGCGAAGCTCAATCGGGTCGTGCTCGACACGTAGCCGGTGGTGGAGTAGACGTGCTCGGAGTGGTGCTGTCGGTCTTTGGAGGCGTGGCGTTGTTGCGGTGTAGTGGAGCCGGCGAAGAACTCATCGCAGCCGAGGTCCCGGCCGGAGAGTGTGTGGTCGAATGCTTGAGTAGCAGCGCCGGGGTCGGTGGAGGCTCGGGACTGGGGTAGACGCGCTTGCCGAAGAAGAGCTGCCTACTCCCCCAGCTCCCTCGAAGTGGACGTACTCGACAGTGAAGTCGTCGTACGTCGGAGCCGAGCCGTTGTCCACCGCCTTGTCCCACGCCCATCCTCGCCCTTCGTCGAACACAACGTCGCGCGCCGTGCGCACACGCTATGTCTTCGGGTCGAGCATACGGTAGGCCTTCGAGCCCTCCGCGTAGCCGATGAACACTCCCGGAGTGCTCCTGTCGTCGAGCTTGCTGATGTGGCCAAGCTCCTTGGCAAACGCGAGGCAGCCGAAGACCCGCAAGTGGGAGACCGCCGGCTTGCGCCCATGCCAAGCCTCGTACGGTGTCCTACCATCGAGCGCCTTGGTAGGCGAGCGATTGAGGATGTAGACGGCCGTCACCACCGCCTCTCCCCAGAAGACAGCCGGCATCCCCCTCTGCTTGAGGAGGGCCCGAGCCATCCCCACAACCGTCTGGTTGCGTCGCTCGACGACGCCGTTCTGCTGCGGGTCAGATGCGGTAGCGGAGTAGTGGTATTGAATGCCCTCGTCACAAGTGCAGACGACGCGAATTCACCCGCCGTGAATTCGCCGCCGTTGTCGGTCGCAAAGACGCGCGACTTGCGGCCGCACTCGCCTCCGCGCAGCGACTGCAGCGCGCTTAATGGCGTCGCATGACCTCTCCCTTGCCGCCGAGGACCATCACCCACATGTAGCGGAGAGGTCGTCAGCAGCAGCAGAAGGAAATAGCGTCGTCCTCCCGGTGTGGCGGTGTCACCGGGCCACACAAGTCCCCAATGCACAAGCTTGAGCCTCTCCTTGGCTCGAAAGCTAGCCCGCGGTGGAAAGAGGAGTCGCCTCGCGCCCGTCAACACGCAGACGCCGCAGAGAGCCGCTCCACATGATCGAGGCACGGCGGGCCTCGCACCATCTCCGTGGCACCGAGCCGCCTTGTGGCCTCGAAGTGAAGGTGCCCAAGCGCTGCGTGCCATTGCCACGCCTCGTCATCCCGACGAAGAAGCGACAGAGGGTTGTGCCACCGCACGTTAAGGATGTAGAGTCGATTTGCGCTTCGGATACCTTGGCAAGAAGGCGGCGACGGCGATCCCAAATCCTCATGACTCCATCCTCAACCACCACGCGAACCATTCTCATCCGGTGTCCCAAGGCGATGATGGAGTTCTCTCAACGGGGATGTAGTAGACTCGGTGAGCGCACTGTGCTCACCGAGACACGGCGGTGAAGATGACGGAGAGCGCCCTTGATCTCCACGCGGAGGCATCACCAAACTTGACGGAGCCTCGGACGCTAGAGTCAAGCTCGGTGAAGAACTCCGTCGACCGGTCATGTGATGGGTGGCGCCGTGTCGAGGCACCATCCGTTAGTCTTGTCGTTGCCGGGAGCCGTCGCCGAGGAGGGCATGTGCTTTTGGCTCGTCAAGGTGGAGGAGAACCGCTGCGGCGGTGTTGCCGGAGGTAGCTCTTCGTCTTGGCATGTGCCATGAACACGAGCCGGTTCCTCCTCCTCGCTTTGTCGCGACGTGGGCGCCGCGCGTCGTGGTTATCGACAATCCTTGGCCCAATGGCCAAAGGCGGCGCGCAGCTGGCGGCAGTGTAAATCTCGTCGTGCGGCTTGTGCTGCCGGCGCCGCACTGGCGCCTCATGGGCATCACCTCAGACGCGTCCTCGCGCTTGACACTGGCGTCTCTGCGCGCTTGCGCGGCTTGCCACGCTTATGGCCGCTTGTCGCGGAAGAAGGCTCCCCTTCCTCCGGTCACCTTGGTCGGCAAGCCACCGCTCCCGAGTGAGAAGGAGCTTCCCGCCCGATGGTGATGGGCCCCGAGAGGGATGTGGCAGGGCTCATCGCCGCCGATGACCTTGAGGCGACCTATCGCCTCCTCGATCGACATCGTGGAGGATCCAGTGAGAGACTCGATCGAGCGAGCCATCTCGCTTGTACTTTCTCGGGGACGCAGCGGAAGAGCTTTTCGACGCTCTCTCTCCTCGCCGTGAGGTGTCATCGCCGAATCGCACCATCTTCGCAATAGAGTGTTGAGACGGAGAGCAAAGTCATCAACGCCCTCACCGGCTTGAAGGCGTGTTCTCCCCTCCCTGCGAAGTGCGCTCGTAGTGTGGACTTGCTTGGCGCGTGATCGCCGCCGATGCGCGTGCTGCAGCGATGGCGTCCCAAGCCTCCTTGGCGTCCGCTTGTCGGTAAGCGAGAATCGCATCTCGGCGGGGCTGCAGCGATGAGAGCATCCGGCGCCCGTCGATCTAGGTCGTAGTCGACGTCGCCGTCACCGGACCGCCTCCCATATGTGCCGCGACTGGAGCTTTACCCTCATCACCGCAGCCCACTCTCGACGTAGTTGGTCTTGGTGAGGGTAGGCCACCACCACCGCCGGATCGACGCCCCGACGACAACGACTGGAGCCCGTGGTAACCACGGTACCGATCCGGGGGAGAGAGCCGCCGCTGCTGT